AAATAGAACTGAATTGAATTCAGGTGATTATACACTAATGAAAACATACCTATGAATATTATATTTCTGACAATAGATCCTCCTCAATGTTACACACTGGACCTTTAAATAGTCACAATGTTATCAAATGTACCAGTTCCCTCTCATTCCACAGGGGGCGCTGTGACCTTTCAACTCGTATATAATGTTACTCTGCTTTCCTCTTTCTCGTCGGTCACAGTCGTCTTTGACTTTGAAACATGGCTGCTGTCAGGGAGATAGCCTAGTCCAAGAACCCTGCCAGGCTCATTATTGGGGCTCTGTTGTCGTGTATTTTCCCTCAGAGCCGTCGTGCGTAGGTTTCGGACATGTCAGATAAAGAGGTCGGTAAAGGGAAGGACAGTCCCGGGGAAAAAGGTTACAGGACACCAGGTCTGCGGGGCGCACAGACCACCACACTGTTCCGAGCTGTCAACCCTGAGCTCTTCATAAAACCTGTAAGACTCACAGACAGACAGACAGACAGACAGACAGACACTGATGTTCACTGAGCAAAGCACAAACGTTTCTGCTCCAAAACTAGCTTAGCATTTAGCCTCTACACAGCTAGTTGAGTGTGGAGTGTTCACAAATGTGTCAGCAAATCATTTCCTGACTGTTTTGTTTTTCCATAATTTCTTATCTCACATGTAATTTGAAGATAACTTTAATATTAAAGCTGCAGTAGGTAACCTTTATAGAAATAACTTTTTGTCACATTTTCTGAAGCTTTCACTATATCCTGACAGTAGAACATGAGACAGATAATGTGTGAAATCATTCTAGTTTTCCTAATGACATTTGCAAGAATCCACCTTCAGACTCTTTTGACTAACATTAACTGTGAAATCCATCCCTTACTGGAACTCTCTGGTGGTAAACAGTTATTTCACAGAATGGGGCTGGCAGATAAACTCCTATCCGCTCTAACATGAAGCTGTATTTACTCTGCAGAACAAACCGGTGATGGTGTTTGGACTGGTGACCATCACCCTGTGTGTGGGCTACCTGGGCTACCTGCACGCCATGAAAGAAAATGACCAGCAGCTGTACGAGGCCATCGACAGTGAGGGAGAGAGATACATGAGGAGGAAGACCTCCAAATGGGACTGACGTGTGTGTGTGTGTGTGTCTAACCCTAACCCTTATGTACTGCAAGGACAGAGTGAATTATAACCTGACTGGACTGAAACAAGGACAATGGTCAAGTTTTCTCTAAATTCTTAAATGTACCTGCCAGGCTTTCTCAACACAACAATAAGCTAAAACTACAAAATGAAGGCAGGCACAATGTTCAGTGTGATGAGCATCATGCTTTACTTCAATTTCCCTTGGGATAAATAAAGTATCGATCTATCTGTTTACTGTTTTATATGATTGTAAATTGGAGCTCTTTGGCTTTTGGACGGTTGGTCAGAGACATTTGAAGGTGTTACTTTGAGCTCTGGGAATTAATGACATTTATAACACTGATAATCCAAAAACTATTGATAGAATAATGGCTGAATTGGGACCTCACATGATTGCCAGAACAACTCCACTCAACTTCAAGCTGAGAATTAAAGGTTATTGAAAACCGTGTTAGTATATAGTAGCTATTATGACATAAAATGGTTGGATAAACACAGGTGTTAGCAATGGTATTAATTAAGGCTCTTTCCAGTGAGTCAATATGTACAAGAACAGCATCCTGACTCTGTTTGACTTGAACCGTAATCAGTATCATTGGTCACACCAATGTTTACCTTACTATTTCAGGTCAAAATGGCTGCTGTGAAAAGGTTCTGTTATAAGCAAAAATATATGACTCCCTGGAAAAAACACTGCTTGGGTCATGGTCAGTGTAAAGTATCCAAGGCTAGAACATGTCAGATACTCAGTTTCTGGTTCTTTCACAATGCTGTTGTTTCTTTAAATTGGAATAATAGTCTCACTGGACTGACAAAGTCCAAAAGAAAATATTTTAAAAGTAAAATTTCATTAAGTAATCATCATAATAAAATTGAATTCCAATCAAACAAAACAAAAATAGATGAGGAAATATAACTTAATATTATTTTTCTGGTCAGAAATTATAGCTGAATATTGTTTCTGAATCCACATGCACACATACATGATTATATATGTATGACTTACAATAGTCCCACTACTGTACACTCCCTTTAAGGATTAAGTCTTTTTAATCACTCTCATTACCCACATAAAGGTAAAGCCATTGCTTTAATTAACTTTCACTAATTACTTTCTTTTAATGAAACCTTTTCACAGGCAGTGTTTAATGAATTTTTTCTACTTTTCATGTGTTGGGTTATTAACATGGGCACTGGTGCTGTGCAACTCAACTCACCAGATTCATCACACATACACTTGTTATGTTTTATTAAACAACATAAATAATAAATACAACTGAAGAAAATGCAACGTGATCCTCATAAGATGTCAGCTCAGAGGAGAGTGCCAGTGTGGCTCCGTTATTTGGCTTTCTCTTCCTGTGGAGAGAAACAGAGCAGTGTACAAATTCATTGCTGTGCATTGAGCTAATGATTAAACAAGAGTTGCTTTCATTCAGTCATACGCAGTCATTATGCACAGACAGATGCACAGAAAACTTTTAAACCGAGTATATTCAGCCTCTTTTAATATTTAATATTTATTGAGCGTGTCTGAAATGGTACCTTGATGGCGTTGGCCAGCTCCTGCAGCGTTTGTTCATATCGGGCTTCCATACCCTTCAGGTTCTCAGGTTTGACGATCTGCTTCTGAATCCCGGGGCTTCCTGCTTCCACCACCATCTGAAGGAAGTTCTTCTCCTGAGAACCAAAAACGTTTCATACTGTTCATGTCACCTCTCTCACCTGCAGAGTTAAATCCCAGGAAACAGGATTCCTGGGAATACCCATACAAACCCTTTTGTTGTTCCCGTTTCGCAAAAAATATAATAACAGGAAAAGAGGTTTTTATTTTAAAATATATAACATATTGGTACTTAAAAAAAAAAAAAGAGTACAGTTCCTGGGATGATAGAAAATGTCTATTTTTTGGGGGGGATATTAGTCCGTAGTATATACAGTAGAGTAGTAGAAGTGTTTCACCTGTACTCCTAGCAAGAAGGTGAAGGCCAGGCCCGCTTTCCCTGCTCTTGCTGTTCTTCCAATCCTGAACAAAGACAGAAACCAGGACAAAGTCTCACTCACAACACAATACGGAGGATTACCTGCAGTATAATCCTGACAGAAACACTCTCAGTAAACCTTACAGCGTCTGAGGACATTGTCCAGCAGTGCGTTTGATGGACAGCTCACCTGTGAATGTATGTCCTGATGTACTGCGGTGCATCATAATTCACAACGCATTTGACCCCGTTGACATCAATGCCTCTGGCAGCTGCGTCCGTGCTGATCAACCTTCAGGACGACACGTTACTTTTATTCATTGATCACTGAGGCAGCGTCACTGTCTGTACACAGGTTTACAAAGACTTTTACTTTATACACACACACACACTTACAGTTGGATCTTTCCTTGTTCAAATTCCTTTAGCGTCTTCTTTCTCTCACCAGGAGAGAGTCTGGAGGAGAACTCCGCAGCCTGAACTCCACCAAACAGCTGCACCAGCAGGTATAGTCTGAGGAGGACAAGAATAGTAAGGTCACTGAAGAAGTCTGCAGCACTGGACAGCTGAAAACATGAACAAGAAATGAGTTTAATCTGACCTGTGTGCAGTCTCTCTGGAGTTTGTGAAACAGAGGATGGGGCTGAGCTTCAGGCGTAGGATGAAGTGGAGGATGAGGAGGGGCTTTTTGCTTAATGTACAGGGCACGTAATACTCCTAACAACATAGACGCAGAGACATGAACAAAGTGATACCAGTGTCTGACAGCATAGTTCTCTGCATTTCCATGCATGCCTCACTAAAGGTCACCTCTTACCGTCAGACTCTGGGGGAAGTCGAAGCGGTCTTGTTTCTGGGTGGGGGCTGCTGGTGTGGTGTTGGAGTGGCTGCGGATGGAGCTGAAGAGTCTGGGCTGGTGGAGGCCCAGCTGCTGCAGCTTCTCTGGGTTCTGTGTGAGTGTGGCAGAGAACAGCAGCTTCTGCAGTGGCATCTGAGGTGGAGACAGACTGAGAGGACAAACTAATTTCAAATTTAAAGAGAAACGCTTATGTAAACACAAACAGAAGAAAACTCCTTTCAGCACAGAGCTGGAGTCAGGACGTGCCGACCTACCACCACCTACCAACCGCTCTGAAGCTGGTGAACCTTGTGTGTCCTTTGTTTATTCATCTCCATCCACTGAACAGAGACTATACACAGACTCACCTGGCTGCTGTCACATATGCTAGCTCAGTCCGCCTGAAGATGGACATGGCTTCTGGTCCACTCCCTGATCTGTACACCGCCTTCACCACCTGACTGAGCCAAGACTGGTGCATGCTGTCAATCATCCTGTCAGCCTCGTCAATAATCTGGGATGGATGAAAGATAAAAAACGCACACATTAGTGGATGGTGGACAATGACAGTTGTATCTGCTGTGTTTTGTTGTCCAGCTTTTTCTTTTCCTTTTTAACTCGTGTAATGTGTTATTATTGTTATTATTATTATTTATGAACTCACGAGAAACCTGAGGTGTTCCAGACAGAAGCCTGAGTTCTTGTTGATGTGATCAACCAGTCGACCTGGAGTGGCCACAACAATGTCTGCCAAACTGCGTCTCATGCCCCCTCTGGAAGAAAAATCAGAAAAAAGATTAGAGATTTCCCCCAAATATTGTACAAACACCAAGTTATCGTCTGATATTCATATGTTCTTCCTAATACTACTGCAAATATTTGTATGTATGCATAAACCCCTTAAGTACTGGGACATCAGGAGATTGGGTCCCGACTTGATTTCATGGACCAGAAGACTTTTTATTCTTGACATTTTTACTTTATTCTTGAAATGCAAAAAGACAAAACAAAACAACACATTCCCCCGCTGATTTCCTGGCACTAGTTATCAAAATACAAAATACTTTTTCTATACTCGTTTTTACCCATTTCATTTTTTCCCTTTATGGCTGGCTCTAAAACTCTTCCTCCATGTCACACAGTAGTGGTGCAGAATATTGTTATTATGAAGCTGCACTCACCTGTGCTCCGAGAGCGAAGCCTGCTCTGCAGCAAAAGTCTTCTGACCGGCCAGCATCACCACTTTCAAAGTGGTCCCCTCAGCGTATGATGTGAACACTTTGCAAACCTGCACAGGAGAACATATCAGCTGAGCTTCTTTTATCTACGGTGCAAACGTTACTGGATTTTGTGATCCAGACTTTTGTTTTGAAAGATTCTGACCTGCTGAGCAAGCTCTTTGGTCGGCAACACAGCCAAAGCCCGGACTTCACACACCACCCGCTCCGTCAGCACCTGATGGTGGAGAACAGCTTTATTTCAACTGGAGTCTCTTTACATGTTCCATCTTCACACATACACATACAGTCGTGCCTTTACAGCTGTATGATGGGCAGCTCACCTGTATGACAGGTATGACAAATGCAAGAGTCTTGCCACTTCCTGTTGGTGCAGACACACAAATGTCTCTGGGCTTGTAGCCGCCTCGTCCAATCAGCAGCCCCTGCTGCGCGCTCTCCAAGATGGCCGGGATGACCTCCGCTTGCACTGTGAAGAAGTTACTTAACTTTTACTCAATACACCAAAGTTCCAAAACTTTCTTAAATCACAACATCCCTTCATAATGAATGTTCACCCACCCACACAACACATGCACTCTTTCCCACTAAACAATCACCACAGATATCTGCTATAAGGACTTATTTTACCAAGCCAAAGAAGCAAATCACACTGATGTGACATACAGTATGTGACATACATAGACTAGAGAACAGCAATATTAAAGGAGCAATGTGTAAGATCTGGCCAAAACTCTAGCTAATTTAGAGTTAGAGTTAAGATTGTTAAAAACATTTTTTTCCAACTTTAGGATGCAGAAGTGGAGAACTGGGCCGAACGGAGGGACAGACCTGCTGCTAGCTGACAGACAGCTGCTGCAGCCCGGCGTTGCTCTGGGAAAGAGCCGGGGCAAACCAGAAGAATAGGTGCACGTGTGGAGGAATAAAAACCCGGAGTCATGCGGCCAGGAATTACACGTTGCTCCTGTAAATAATACACAGATAATATCTGCCTGTATCATTACCTGGAAAAAGGTGCTGAATTCCATTACTTTGTATTTTTTTCACCAGCTGAGCAGAAAGTCCTGGGATGTCAGAGACAGGGACCAGGTTGCTTTTAATGTCTCTGTGAATCACATCAGGCTGAGCGAGCCACTGAGGCAGGACTCTGTGGACCTGTGAACAGAAGCACACTGTGAATACTTATCAACCCCAAAGGATAAATGCTAATGACACTGGTGGCCGCTGGCCCTGTAGCAACATCGACCAATCACTGTACCTTTTGGATTGGTTTGTTCTCAAATCCTCCCAGAACCGTGAACCCAGTTGGAGCAGATATCTTCCCTGTGGTTTGTTTTGATGTGTCGTTTTCTGTCTCTGCTTCCTCTACTTCTCCTCCAGCATCCTTCTGTTCATCTCTTCCAGTCTCACCAGTGTCTGCAAGACCTTTAACTGAACCGCCTAAAATCCAAACACAGACGGAATCCTCTCAGGCATATTTTTGTTTTGCAGGTGTGTACATTACAGAAGCCACACCAGCTTGTAACTAGTTTATCTAAAGAGTTACATTAAACCGAAGCCTCTGCTCTGATGCCAACCTCCTCTCCACC